GCCATTGAGGACAAGGTCCTTCGTGATCGGAGCTCCGCTTAGCGTCATGTTGAGGTAGCATATCGCTGTGCGGACGCTCTTGACGATTTAAATCACGTCGTGTGCCGGCTGCCTCGCGTTGAGGACTACCGTACTCTGTCGGAGCTACTCCTGGCCGTGGACCAGGCGAATGCGTCGCTGCATGCGACGGCGGAGCACTTGGTGTCATTAGAAATGGAGGTTGTTGCACTCCGTGCTCAGAACCAGTTGCTAATTCGACTTCTGAGTACCAAGAGCCCGTGGGATCCGCTCCGGCGCCAATGCTTTCGCGTTTACTTGCACCGGATCCCGGTACGGCTTGAGCAACCCCACGTTAAACACCGGGTGGGTGCACATCCGTTTTGGGGGGTTCAGCGTATACGCTAGGTCTCGCTTGGCCACAACCTTAAACAATCCGATGAACCGTGGACGAAGCTTCGTCGTGAAGACAGCAGAGGCTGCATGTATAGGAAGGTTGTTTATATTTGATAAAGCCAGGTCCCGACCTTGAAGCTTTCTACTTTGCCGCTTCCTTTTTCATTTGCATATTCTTTTTGCAGGTTTTGGCTTTCAGCTATCGCATCGCGAACGTACTCAGTCTGGTAGAGAAGAAGTCATCGACTTCTTTACGGAAGGTGAGGGGGCTGACATCAGCTAGCCGTTCGGCTATCCCCCCCACTAAGCCCTGAGCCATGGGATGGAGGCGTCTGCGGGACGCGAAGTGAAATAGCCCGTTCGCGTAGAACGGCGTGTAGCCGGTAGACGAATGCACTGCATTGTTGAAAGCAAACTCTACGAGTGGCAACATGGCGCTTCAGCGCCTCGGCGTCGCAGCGCAGACGCTGCGAGAACTTCTTCGGTGACGCGATTTACCCTTTCGGTTTGACCATCGGTCTGCGGATGATCCGCTGTCGACATATCCAACTTGGTGCCTAGCATCTTGAAAATAATCGACCAAAATCTTCCTGTGAAACGGGGTCTCTATTAGAGACAATCGACCCTGGGAGTCCGTGTTGATGGAAAACACGATCCACGAACAGCGTTGCTGTACCGACAACGTCGATAGTGTCTGGTACCGCCGCCATATGAGCCATCGTGCTCAACCGGTCGACAAATACCACGACACCCGTGTTGCCCGCCGAATCTTTCGGCAG